GTAAAAAATTAATTTTTTCTATTTTCTATGATGAGCCTCAAATCTTTTTCATCAAACATCAACAACATTCCTAACTGAATTATTTTCTTGGAGGAACATCCTATGTCTGTTCCACCCAACCATTTTTAGGTTCTGTGTTCTCCTGAAATTTCCAATTGGCAGTGACTTCTTTTTAATAACTGAAAAGAGAAACGGGGAAAACAAAATGAAAAAAACATTTCTTCTGATACAAGTTATTAGATATAAAATGAGTAATCTCTTATGAGGAAAACAATACAGTATTTTTTATTAGTCGTAAACAGAAGAGTTCCATTCTGACTTACCTGGCAAAGTTCAGAAAATTGCAACATACTATTTAATCACTCAAATGCATACTTTCTCCCTGTGCAGCCTGTAAAACTTTTCTCTGTGGATAAAGGTCAGGCTTTCTTCATTCTTTCTTCACTGTAAGCACTTTCCTTTTTTCAAGTAATATGGTGAAGTTCTTGACAGCATTTTTGCTTTTAGTCTTCCAGGCCCTACAAAAGCTTCTCTCACATATAGGATGAGAATATTTTCTATGTTGCTTTATCAATTATTTCATGAATACTCTGAATGAGAGAACAAAGTATGACCCAACTGACATATGAAACAAAAGAAAAAAAAACATCAAATTCACTGGTTTCATATTGGTGGTCTAGATTGTCTTTTCAGAACTGCAGTTTTACTTATAGACAAGTAAGTAAAATACTATGCATCCAATCTCTTTTTTACCGATTAAGGAGAAATAGGGTAACTTGGATCCTGATTTTAAAAGTCTAATGTGGCATGAAATAAATAGCTCTCATGACAGCACAGAACGGAAAAAAAGAAAGATGATTATTAAACTGTGTGTAAAAGTCATCTTTATTACTCTATTGTTGTTTTGGCTTCATTCTGAGATGTGTGGAAGGCTACAGAAAAGCCTAATCATGTTTCTTGGCGGCTCTTCATAAGCAGTGAGCCCTGTGAACAGTGAATGTGGAAAGCCCCATGAAATTAAGGATCTTAATGAAAAAATAAGACCAGCAAAATGTTGCATGAGACAAAAAAATTGTTTTGCTGTGTTTTTTTTTAAAGCAACGAGCAATGCTAGTAAAGGGGACAAAGGAAGTAGTTTTAAAGGGGCAGAATACTTCTTCTGTTGTTTGGGGATTATCTTTTTCTCCTTTTTAAATGCATGAGACAGCAGCAATGGAGAATCCACCTGTTAGTGTTCCACCTGTCAGTACAACTTGGCTCTAATCTGAAAGTTGCATTTTTTGTGGCAGATCAGACTGCTTCCTTCATCTGTCTAATGCTTCCTTCTAAACAAGCACTAATTACCAGCACATTACCACTGCCCTTAAGAAGTTTGAATTGTAGTGCCTGCACAGCTGAGGATGTGCCTAGCTTTATAAAGGTACCCTCTTCATATCATACCTCAGTTCTTCAGAACACAGAACATTATCGACCTAATACCTCCAGCTTCTATGAAAAGTAAAATCTGATGGTATAAGTGGTTTTCCTCTTGTAAACCTGACATAGTCTTAGCCTGTTCTTCACTGGGGTTCATTGCATGTTGATCTGTTATCTCTGGTTTTGATAAAAGAGAGTAAGTATGCCTTGATGAAACAAAAAATATTTTGGGGGATTAAAAAATGCTTAACTGATTAGAAAAGAAATATAGTTGTTGTTTTTCTGTGTTTTATGTAAGCACCCTTGTGTACCCAAATTGGAGTTCTGATTTGAGAATGCATAGGAGAGAGGAAAAAGGGGTGGTTGGATTCTTTTCTGTGTTTGGGAAAGCATTACACTGAGGTTTTCTGTTGATTTAGCATGATCAAATATCTTCCACAAGGAGAATCAGTGCTGCTAGAAGTTGGCCTAAGATTAATGTCCAGTTTGGTTTTAGGTTCACATAGCTATCCAATGAGAAATTTGGACTGGATGTTTAATTGCTGCATGGAGAAGCAGCCCTGTGTCACTCTAAAAAAAGAGAATCAGATTTTTCCTCTGATACTGACATTAAAGCGGCCAATGAATATTGCACTTTCAGGTCTGAGGGCAGATTTTTTGGCCCAGATATTTTCTGAGTGAATAAAATATGAGAAAGTCTTTGTGTAGCTGGTGCCTTGGGTTTTGCTTTTCAGAACGTGTTTTATTTCCCTGGCATGCTTTCTGCAACATCTAGTGAACATTGGTGGAGCCTGAAATAATGTATCAAGAAGAATTTTCTTCCTGAGATGAGGCTGCTCTAGTTGCAAGGCATTCCCAAGTGAGCTCCCTAATGAGTGATAGATGGGAAAAATAACAGGAAGGATCCTTAAATGTTCCAAGTTTTGCATGAAAAATGACAAATTTTTTTGGATGCTATGTTTGGTACCTAGCCTAGAATTCTCCTACATTTTGATAGTGGTGCCTTCAGAATGACACAGTGAGTCATAATATTTGACATTTGGGGAGATTTTTACTGGATCTCTAAGCACTTGTCAAGACTGTTGAGAAGAATAGTTTAAGAAGAATTATGATTTCCTTTGAGAGTTTATGAAACTGTTCTTGTTTTTTTAAAGCCTATTTCCTTTTCTTCAAAACAAAACAAAACAGAAGAAATAAAAACTTCAAAAGTATGTATTGACCATTTTTAGTGAAATGGTAGTTGAAGGCATATATCCACACTGTATTCAGTTATTAAATGGTCTTCCAAAAATATTTCCAGCTTTAGATCATTGAGATCTTCTAATGTCACCAACCAGTTACTTTTTTTTTCATGTTTATTTTCATATAAGATTCATAGCACACAAGGGACATGAAGAATACCAAGACAACAAACTGGCATTTGTCCAGGCATCATAGCAAGATCTGACCAGCTCATGTTCATGTCTGCCCAAAGGCTCAGGGAATTGCTTTGCTTGTTAGTATTTGGGAGGGTTGGTGGGCTGTGGATTTGAGGATTGCTTAATAAGTGGACCTGTCTCTAATTCTGCTACCTCAAAAATGTGTTAATAGCTGTCCCTAATGACAGCTGTGTTCTTAGTTGTAAGACTCAAATGTCTCTAGCTGCTTTTGAGGAGTAACAAAGTACAATTGCAAACCTCAAGTCCAGTGAATGATCTGTTTCCCTGGTTCCCATGGATTTGCAGCACTCAGTTTCATTGGCATGTCCCCCTTCCTGAGCTGGATACATCCATTACATTTGCCCCAGATTTATCCAGGGCTGTAAAAAGGCTTGGTAGCATTTAATAGCGGTGCCTTCCTGGGATTCCTTGGCTCCAGATGGAATTGGTTGTCTTCTAACTGGTACTATGAACAATAAACTGCCCACTGCAGGTTGCCATGCCAGACTTCTCCGGTATTGCCAAACCCAGCCCACTAAAAGTCAAGAGGGCATCTATGGCACACGAGTACAGAGTTTATGCTGGTAGTACCCTCTCTCGTGCCTCCAGGGCTTGTATTCTTACTCCACTTTCTTACTTATGCTTGACAGCTCTAAAAAGCAGATATATTAGATGTACCATGTTTGAACAAAACAAAAAAACAGGGAGCAATTTTTGCAAATACATAATTTACTTCTAATCTAGTATGAAGAGTCAAATAAAGACCTAGGTAGCTTGTACTGCAGGGAGGCTGGAGATGTGGGAAAAATATCCTGAAGGAGTGAGCTGGGGGTGTTAACAACTTAAACCATACCTGTCACCACCAGTCATCCTCAAAAGTGTACTCTCAGTCATCCCTGCCCAATCACAAGACTGATAAAAGACAGACGGTTCTGATTTGCATTTTCCATCTGAATTTTGATCTTTGTGGTTTGCTTGGCTTGTGTTTTCAAGTGTTCCTCTGTAACCACTAGAGTTAGCAATGTAAGGATTTTTGAAAATGGAGTTTCTCCCAAGACAGGTGGAGCTGCAGCTTCATGAAAATACTGCTAAAACACTGCCAGCCCACCAGTGCCTCCCACATGATTCTTTTTCCCACACTATCCACATGGCTTGTTGCTCATGTGATGGTATGTATCGTGTACAGGCACACAAAATATGCATAACCTTGAAACCCTGCAGATGTGGTCTTCTGATATAGCTGCATAGGGGACTTTGGGACTGTAGCTTTTGGGGGTTTCTGTGTTGAGAGTACCTGACCTTTTCTTTTCCTGCAAGGCTTTGGGAGGTGTGGGGTAGGTTTCTGTTGGTTTCTTGGGAAGGCAAAGATTTCTGTGGTCTTTGGCTGGATCTCAAATCCTGGGGTACTGAAGTGTGACCTAATAATTTAGGACTCAGGGAAGGGTGGTATTTAAGTAAACTATCTGGGTTTGAACATTCTTTAACTATTAATTATTAAAATTTATACAAATCCAGAGAGGTGCGTGGCATGTAACACACCATACCTAGAAACAGCTGATCTGAGCTTACATGTGATGGATTTTTTTCCGAAAAGACACCATCTCCTGTGAGCACAATAGAGCTAGTACTTTTCTTATAAATAGTGAATGTTTTATAATTGCATGCAGTCCTAAAGCTGGTTCCTATTATTGAGAGTCACAGAGGTTTTGGGGGGGAGGGTCTGTGGGTTGTTGTTCTTTTCCAGAATGATGTCCAATCAGCTTCTTTGGCAGAGTATTAACTATGGCTAAAATATGTTTCAGTGTGAAAATGTTATGGTCTAATGAGCAACTTCATTCTTTTGTCACTTTCTTGCTTTGATATAAGAGGTTCTGGGTCAGGAACTGCCCATTTGATCCTTGGTCTGTCTCCAAGTGGAGTTTATATGTCAGTACCTTTTATACCAGCCTTTCAAATTCATGTGATAGAAACAGTACAGTCGCTATAGGTCAAAGGCGCTCAATTTAATGAAGTCTCACGTGCCCTCATAAGCAATATTGTCGCTTCCTGCCGAACTACTGAGCTGTCTCCATTTAGGGAGATTTGTCATCCCTGAACATCATGGTTGGAGCTGCTTCAGGATTGTCCAAGCTGTGTTATAGCTTTATTGCTTTTCTTTTGTCTCAGGTGAACTGTGTGATGAGGTGATTAACCACTGTGTTCCTGATCTAAATCCGTGCCAACATGAGTCCAAATGTCTTCCTCTTGACAAAGGAACCAGGTAAGTGTGTGTACATGATGGTCTCCACACTCTGGGCAGATCACTCCATTGGCTTGACTGGGGTTGAACTGGCACTGAGTTTGGGGTAGAAATCATCAAAATTAATGCAAATAGTGCAAGACTGTATATACTTCAGGCCATGTCACATTTTAATTTTAATGCAATCATACATACTTTTCTTGCCTTTTGTGGTTTACTTGAAAATAATGGATATACCCCCCAGACCAGAGAAAGTATTCTAGAATAAAGCATGGCAAAAGGAGTACTTCTGGAACAGTTACTGCAAAGTATCTTATCCTGCATCAGAAACTAAGGACAGTTTCCTTACATGTTCCTTAAGGCAGCCATCGATTCAAGTAGCATAACAGGAGCTTTAACATACGTAACTCAGCTCTCCTCAGCCATGCTGGCTCGGTGTTTAAAATCTAATCCCCATTCTAACTACTGAGAAGGGAAAGATAAAATTGTGGCCAGAGCATAAAGCTGCAGGTCAGGAGTTTTCTGTTCTATTCCCACTTTAGCTGTTGTTTTGCAGGATGGCTTGCAGCCTTGGGGTGTGCTGGCCAAGGCCGGCCTTGACCGCAGTGCGGCTCTTTTCCCCACACTTCCCACCTGGGCAGCAGCAGAAAACAGCTAAACTGGACTGCTCTCACTTGGGAGCCGCCGCCTTCTGTTGGCTACAGAGGCGAGCCTCGCTCGGCTCGTGTTAGATTTTGTGAAGTCTGTGTTTGCATTTGCGTATTGGGAATGACACTGACTTTCGCAGGGGCAAAATAAAGCCTCATGTTTTAAATGGCAGTAAAACATCTGGAGATTTGGGGGTTGGGGTGTTTTGAGAGATGCATAGTAGCGGTGTTCATCACTTGTCTGAAGAGGGAATTTCAGAGCAATTTAGCAAATAGAGACAGTCATTTGAAAAGTCAAGCTCTGCGGAAAGCTTGTCAAGAAAAGATCTTTGAATCAAAGAAGTAAGAAAGGAAGATAGATTAAAGAGAGTTCAGTGCAGTGTGAGCTGCATTCTGCACTTTCTCCTAAGGCTGTTTTCACAGCCACAATGCAGTCCAGGGTGCTCACCAATTCCCTTCTGGAAGGGAGTGCTGGGGTTTTGGCAAGGGATGCCCTCCTCCCAGCACACCCAGCATGTCACAGGGGAGAGACAGTAGCACTCTTTGGTCTTCCTGGTAGCTTGCAGTTGGGGTCAGATTGTGTCCTGTGAAGCAACCAGCGTGTCAGAACAGTGTAAACTAATACACAGAATATTTCAGGATAGTTAAAAGGAAGTGAACCAAATTTTTAGAGATGGTGGCTATCTAGAGGGCTGCTGAATCTGTGCTAGACAGTCAGTCGGTACAACTCAAGCCCTTCTTTTGGGTGAAAAACCTCCAGACAGAAATATTTCCTACTCCTGAGGAAGATGAAGCTATTAAATGATTAGTACAGTTCCTAAAATGATGCCCAGGGACTGGATAAGGAGGTGTGTACTGGTACATAAACAGTCCCTGATGTTCTTTCTAGCTTTCATTCCTAGTTAATCCATCATTTAGCTAGCCCAGTAGCTACATCATGTTTCGAGGCAAAGGCTTGTAACTCTAATTACTTTATGTTGATAGATGTATGAAGGGATGGAGACAGCTGTGGTCCTCAGTGGTTTTACCCTTGCTGGAAGCATTTGCCACCCAAATAATTTGAGTAAATAAGACACTTTTGCTTGCTTGCTTGCTGGAAAAGTGTTCTTTACAGTGGGGCCATTAACTCTTGGAGGGAGCCTAAATAACTACTTGTATTTTCTACTACTGTTTGTTGCGTTATTCTTCCCACTTTTTGTTGAATGCTACACAAAAATCCATAATTTCTTTACTCCTTCTGTCCCGTTTTGCTTTCTAGCAGGCCAGATTTGAGAGGTGAAGGGGCCTGCCCAGCCTTGAATGTAGATTTGTCAAAGTATTGCTTATTCTTTCATATTTTAGTTGCACTAAACCATTCAGAAATGGACTGAGAGCCCTCAGCAGCTTTTGTAGTGATGTGTGGTTGTTGCTGGGTCTCACTGAAAACAACCAGCTCTGGTCCTGTGCTATTGCTGATCCCTTGACCAAACGGATCCCAGTTTGATCTCCTAACCTGTGAGGTACCATATATTTAGCACATAACGGTGCAGTATAATCCCACATGCAGAATGAGTCAGGCTCATGCACCAGTCCTTCCCTCTGCTTACGGAGGTGGGGAATGTTAATGATAGGATTCAGGCTTGTTCCTGAGCTGACCATTCACTGGTCAGGTTTCTGCCCTGGGCATGTCAATAGGACACACAGGTGAAGAGTATCATATCAGCAAGGACACCAGTCGATCTGTCTGTCCTGCCCTCAGCTCTTGTCAATCCACAGCTCTGCAGAGGGAAGAAAAGATGACAAAGACAGGAAAAAAAATAGGAAGCCAAGATATTTATTGATATGGAGAGGGAAATTCCATTCTGGCCCTGCAATAGAAGCCATGATTCACAGCTTTAATACAATAGACATTGAGTGCATGCAGATGCAAATCCCCTCGGTTTAGGCCAACATTTTGAATACCACTAGACATGGTTTTAGGCTCTCTCTGATACTGGGAATGTTGCCATCACTATAAAGCTGCAGCAGAAAGCAAGATTTCAACTGTACTGGTGTCAGATGGTCACTCAAAATGAGATAACTGATCTAATAGTGTAAATTACTCTCTTACCAGGATTTGAATATGGAAGACTCATTGCCACCTTCTTTACTGCACCATACTTTTACTGATAGTCACTTGCTGACACTATGTGGGATAGGGATGAAGCTAACATGCCATCACTCCCTGGCGGGGGAGAGCTGGGGTTTCTAGGAGGAGGCTGGCTGAGGCACTCATGTGGCTGAGTTTCTCCCCCACTGTACTCCAGGCATGCATTTTTTGGTAGCTTCAGCCTAGATGTGACACACTAAGAGCTCAGAGATGACTGACCCAAAAGGAATTCCATGTTTCTAAAGGGAAAGCCAAGCTTGGAAGCAAACTGCACTATTTCAGTGTCTGTTTGGCTGCACAGAGCTCTTTGCTTTCTAAGCTAAAATTGCAGGTGGCTTTTCTCACTTCCAGCCTCCACATCTTTATTGTGCTGTTACTGTAGAAGAAGAGTAGCCTTCTGTATGCCAGAAAACAAAACAAAACAAAAATCAACAAAAAGGAATGCTATTTAGCACAATGAAATTACTTCTAAAAAAGTAACTTCAGGAAAGGAGCATGGTTTTCCATTCACTGTATTGATGTTGGAGCATGGTATAAATATACTTTATTATTTTAAAGCTTGGAATTATTACCTGACAGCTTAAAATGCTGATTTAACACAGCCCTGCAGAGAAAAGTGGTGGTTCTGTCATTACTGAGATAGCCAATACACATCATAAAATTGATGCATGGCAGCCCTGAATAAGGAACTGCACATCGTTCATTATTACATCACTTTATATTAGGACTGCAGGGATCAATAAAAAGCAACAGGATTAAATGCTGCCAATTCCCCCACAAAGTCTTTTGATTGACATTATTTGCTTGCAGGTGTGACTAAAATGTTGCCAAAAAATGTTGACCGCTGCTTATGGTTTGCGGAAGGAGCACTTTTTGCTTTTTTGCTCTGTTTTGTCATCTCTGTTATGTTAATCACAGTATTCCCTGAGCCACTAAGGTGTAAAAAAGCAATTCAGGCATGCAGAGCTGGAACATCAACCATTGTGTGGCTGCAGAGGGTCACGATGGGGGCCTCTCATGTAGGGTGGATGGAAAAAGAAAGTATATGAATCTACACAAAATTATCTATCCTCCAGGCCGCAGCTCCTTGTTTAGCCAGTCACAAGCCCTGTTTTGAAGTGGAGACTGGAGGTCTCATTCTTCTCAGTGCTTGAGCTAGGTGGTTGCTGAAGCCCTGCTGCTGTGGCAGCCCTTCGCTGGCCACAGCGCACACAGGACCCGCCGTTCCACTCCAGCAGGTTTCACCCAACTCGCTGCCTTGCCTGGACAAGCTGGGGAGCAGCCAGGAGCCAAAACACACTGTCACTTGCAACCAATTTCAGCACAATGACAGTTGAATGGAAAGTGGAAACATCTTTCCTCATCAGCTCCTGTGTGTCCACTTCCTCTGAAGAGGTTTTCCACATGGAGCCTCCTCCTGCTCTTAAGCGACCAGGCTGCTGGCAGGGAGGGGGAGGCCAGCAGAATATCTTGGTGGAGCAGTAGTTTCTCTCCTGATGCCTCCTCCCTCAACTTTATAATGTCTCTTCTCTTCCAGCTCTTGGTGGCAAGCACACTGGGTCCAAACAAGGGGCACTAGCAAGAGCACAGGCCACTTTTTTATTGCTGACGTTAACTGTAGCTCTCCCCTTATTTTGGTTGAAGTGATAGGCCTTTTGTTTTCCAGATGTGCAGTAACATCCAGCTGGGAGGAGTAAAACGTGTTTTATGGACTAAAGCGTGTTCATGACTAAACATTGTCTACACTACAGATTCAAAAAGAGGCTATTCAGCAATCCCAGAAGATCTGTTCCAAGTCAGACTTTGGGATGTATTTTCTATTGTCAGGTTATAAACTTCTGTAAGACTTATAATAGAAATGCTGATGCAGCCTTCATACAACAAACTTGAGAATTGTATAAAATAAAACAAAAAGCCAATGTCTGCAGGTTTGGGTGCATCCCATTTTGTTGCTCCAATGAATGGTGTTACCCCATAGCAGCAGGTACACACTTTGCCTGAGTGTCACCACAGGAAAGGACAGGCTTCAAAGACAGCTTTCTGTAGTTGCAGCAACATTTGTTCTGCCTTGCTAATGAATGGCAAACAGGTGGTGGACTCAAAACTGACGATCTTTTCCTTTAGGTTTGCTGAGTTTTATGGTTTGCTTGCACATTGCTTCCATTTGGAAGGTGGAACCTTACTGTGCTCTGTGTAGCGGCACAGAGCCAACCTCAGGCACTCAGCGGTGTGCAGACCTTGGCAAAATCGCAGTCTGAGACATCACAGCAACTACCCTTGCAGAATACTGCCCTCTGAGTCTGTAAGGCTAGGGAAGATGTTGTCATCTTTAGCATAACTGGGAGACCGCTATATGATCACCCTCCTACACAGACTTGGCTGAGGAAAAGCAGTAGTATGGTATTGCTTTGCTCAGCTTGAATTTAAGCAGATTGCAGAACCTCAACTGCAGACAGACAGGAGGGACTTGAGCACTTCTGATGGCAGGAGCTGTGCTTAATGTTTCCAGGAATAATTGCTAACAACTTTCCATCTCAAATCAGATTGGTGCTACGCTGCCTGTGTGTGCTATTGTTGTGAATGTTGAAACAAGCTATTAACAGCGATCTTCTTGTATTTCAGATGTGAGTGCTTGCCGGGTTACAGTGGAAAACACTGTGAAATAGATGATGATGACTGTGCGGGCCATAAGTGTCGCCATGGAGCCGTCTGCGTAGATGCAGTCAATGGCTACACCTGCGTCTGTCCTCAGGGTTTCAGGTACGTGAGAGTCAGCTCCTGCCCTGGACTGTCTTCCGTACATAGTGTTGGGGCACTTTCTGTAATTACTTTCATCCTCAGAGCTAATCAGCCTCTAGATATGGTGTCAGTCTGTCATTCCTACGTAAGCGGATGGCTCAGTGCTTCAAATCTCGTAGCTGAAGTAGGTCTTAACGAGCTAGCTGAATACAGGGGGTTGACAATTCTTGCTTTGAAAACAGCAGTTTGCCTTTTGTGCAGTGCTGTGTTAGTTTGCCTGCCTGCCTGCCTGTCCCAGCCTTTCCTGGCAAAACACTAGGTAATACACTCACATAAATTATATGGAGATAAACTCTGCATGCGTGAGAGTGAGCAAGGGATCATAAAGTTACATATACGAACTCTCAGACCTGGCTGCAAGAAAACACGAGTCTGAAGATTCTGTGCCATTATCTCTGTGCCTGTTGGTGGATGGGCTCAATGCAACTTGGGCTCTAAATTTCCAGTCTCTGATTCTGACAGCTGCCAATATATCTGACTCCTGGAAATCTCTCTGTCTGTCAAAGATAAGTGTGCTGCTCCAAATGGATTCACTAATCATTGCCTGAGGCTGGATACTGGCTTCCTTCCAGCTAAACCTTTTCTGTGTTTGAAATACACATGAGACAAAGAAGGAGTACCTGAAAAGATCAGTCTTGACAAAGCAGAAATTGCATGAACATTTATAAATCATTTTCTCTGCTTTGTATCTGCAATTGTTTTCATTCTTCTTGCTTTTATCCTTGCTGGGTTTTGGGGTTTTTGCCTCTGAACACACATTTTTATTGCAAAGCAGACAGCCTTCCCTGAATAGGCATTGATATATAACATGATGTCAGCCTGTGGTTTCACAGAATCAGACTTGTTATTTACAAGATACCAGATATCCTCTGAATTTCAAATTCATACCCTTTTCTCTATGTCTCATTCTCTGCTTCAATCCCTTTGATGGCCTTAGGGATTTTGCAAATTGGTGACTGGTAAGGATAACAGGTGGCTGTCCCACAGTAGAATGGTAAATGCTCAACATTATCTAATTGTTAGAGTTGAGAAATGGGATTGCAAAGCCATATCTAGAGTCAAGGGTAACTCAAAACTGTCATCATATGGTAGGGACCGGGAGACTTCTGCTGCAGATCCCTTAATTTTTAAGGCATGTCACTACTAGGCAGTGATGAATATGAGGGTTTTTTTCCAGGAAGGCAGGGTCACAGTGTTTGGCAGAGATGTTTTGAGTCGTGACACAGTTGAGCAGAGCAGCAGGGGTAGGTGGGAGACTGGTCTGGGTCCCTTCCTGTGTACCAAGCAGCTCTACTGGCAGTTTAGGCAGGGCCCCGGGTTGCCTGATCTCACACCAGGGACTTCAAGAACAGAACCTGGCACAGCCCAGCCTGCTCTCTCACTCAAATGAGTAGGTTTCATTCCACTAAAAGTCCTCCAAGAAGAGGAAACGTCTTTATATACAAAGCTCCAAAACTCAACCACTAGCTTAGACAGCACTTCATAGCCCAGGGGAGACTTGGGCAAGCAATGTAATCCTGCTGCCTGTCAACAGCAGAGCCAGGATTAACTTAAAGTCTCCTGTCTACTTTCTTTTTTTTGTACTAGTCCATGCCACCTCCCCAAATTTCCTGTGCAAAATGCAAGGGAACAGGGGTCTTACAGGAGAAAAACATCACAGTGAGCACTAACGGGGTCCTTCTGCCAAGCCGAGGAGCAGAATGAATCCCCTTGTGTCTCCATGCAGAATAGTCCCTGATCTTGTTTGATTTCAGGATTAAAATTCTGCTAACAAAATATGATCTGCTCATTATTCTTTCCATGATTCCAGCCTTTTGTAGTTTAAAGGCCTGCTGCTCTGAAGGGGGTTCTGATTTTTTTTTCCCTCTTAAGATTGCAATTGCAAAGATGGTGATTGACAGAGTTCAGCCTTCTGATGTTCAGGGTTATAGACTCAACTGTTCCCGAAGCGTGCCTCAGGCACTGGGCTGTGTGGCACAGAGATAACTTTGCAAGTATTTGAAGGCTGCAAGTGTTGATGAAAAGGAGAGAACGCAAGGGGTGGTCTGACAAAGGTAACTAGGAGACCTGAGATGATGATTAATAAAGTTTTTTGGCTAAGTATCAGGAATCATTTCCCAGCAGTGAGTTTGCAGAGTGACCTCCCAGTTATCTGGAGCTTATGCTGTTGTAATAAATGCATAGAGCTATAACAATGTTATGGTTGTCACTATGCTGTATGTCAAAGCCACTTGGAGTCACACATTAATAAGGATGTTAAAACTTACATCCTCGCACAGTTGAACAAACAGCACTCTGGTAATTCTTAACAGTGTAGGGCCGCACATGCACGGTGACACACCTCTGATGCCAGCCCCCCAAAAGCAGTAGTACCAACATGCACACGCTTGTTTTCCCATCTTTGCATTTCCTATTCACTGTTCAGCTGTAGTTGTGCTCTAGGCAGCACCTTTCCTTATCACTCAGCAACCTTTTGCAATTACATAATACACTTTCTTCCTGAAAAGTTGTCAATGTTTTCTTCACAGAATAACATTCATTTACCCCCTGCAGATGAAAACATTTCTGAGAATTTGTGAACCCCATTGGATAAAACCTAACTTACCAAACCTTCCCTCTAGCAATCAGCCTCACAGTAGTGTTGTCCTGATAAATGTTGCTCTATTGGGGATGCACACATTAAGGCTGCTGAGCTTGATACAAAGCACTGTTCCTCCATTGTGTAGATGCTTCAGAGTTCCCCACTGGGATAGTTTGCTTCAAGAAACTCAGCAGTGATTATTTAAATAAATGAGATTGTACCAGGCAGAATGGTCTTGGCCAAGCTATACAAGTCAGGCTGTGCTCCACATTCCACTGCCAGGAAAATAAATAGTATTCATTCTTTCCAAAAATATATTTTAAAAAATATTTTTAAATGGGAAAAAGAAAGGCCTTGACAGACATTGTTGCTAATGTAACTTCTAGATGCCAGTAGCAGGACAGCTGCACTTGGAAAGCCACCCACTGAAGGGGTTTCACAGCAAGGAAGAGTTGTGCAGGAGCCGTGCTGGAGCTCAGAGAATCTTTCAGAGCAGCACCAAGCACAGACACACTGGCTTCTTGCAACATTTGCTTTTTGTTAGTGGAGGCTGTTGTGGGTCGCATGGATTTTTTATTATTATTATTTTTAACTTCCATGAAATTAGAATTATATGCACTGACTTTCCTTCTGCTTTCTACTTGTTGCTCACAGACAAAACAAAATGATTGGCATTAGGTAGAACAAAGCTAATGGGCTGGGTTAGTAGTGCTCCTTTCTGCTAGTCACCTCTGGAAAAAAATTCCACCTGACATCAGGCCAGGGGTGACAGCCATCTGTGGAGTCGACCCTGGTTTGATCCCATTCCTGCTTCTCCTGACGTGTTTGCCAGCCAGCTTCAAAGCCCTGCACTGGAGAGGGAAATCACACACTTAATGAAACCAGGCTTTGAACAGGAAAGTGCTGCAATCGGACACTCACTTTAGTGCCTGGCTAGCAATGGGGACGTGGCACTGATGTGTCCTCAGCTCATCAACTCTGGCTGGCTCTGACTGCTGTGCTGATAGGCAGCTACCACAGTAACTACCTTAAATTGGCAAGAATTGCTTTCTGTGTATCTATCTTCCCATGAGGTTGTTGCTGTTTTTTAATATTCCGTTGTTTTCTTGGAAGAGGGAATCCAAACCATCTCTTGCTGAGTGGTGCTACGTCCCCAGGGTGCAGCACTCACCCTCCAGGAACCTGGTGGCCTGTGGGGCTTTGCCAAGAAGCTGCAGCAAAGGGTCTTGTTCAGGAAGGGAAAGTCTCTTAGTCTATAACTAATTCATAGTTTAGGTGTGTTCACAAAGAAATGTTCCCAAGAACCAACTTACATTGAGAAACATACTGGACTGAACAAAGACAACCATTTCCCACTGCGGTGGGTTGACCCTGGCAGGATGGCAGGCGCCCACCAAAGCCACTCTATCGCTGCCCTCCACAGCTGGATGGGGAGAGAAAATATAAGAAAAGGCACGTGGGTCGAGAAAAGGACAGGGAGAGATCACTCAGCAATTACCATCACAGGCAAAACAGACTCGACTTGGGAAAATTAATTTATTGCCAGTCAAATCAGAGTAGGGTAATGAGAAATAAAAACTAAATCTTAAAGCACCTTCCACCCACCCCTTCCTTCTTCCCGGGCACAGCTTTACTCCCGATTTTCTCTCCCTCCTCACTCAGAGCATCACAGCAGGGCAGGGGATTGGGGTTGCGGTCAGTTCATCACGGGCTATCTCTGCCCCTCCTTCCTCCTCAGGAGGAGGACTCCTCACACTCTTCCCCTGCTCCAGCGTGGGTCCCTCCCACAGGAGACAATTCTCCACAAACTGCTGCAGCATGGGTCCCTCCCACGGGGTGCAGTCCTCCAGGAGCAGACTGATCCAGCGTGGGTCCCCCAAGGGGTCACAGGTCCTGCCAGGAGCCTGCTCCAGTGTGGGCTTCCCATGGGGTCACAGCCTCCTTCGGGCACATCCCCCCACTCCAGCGCGGGGTCCTCCATGGGCTGCAGGTGGAGATCAGCTCCACTGTTGACCACCACAGGCTGCAGGGCACAGCCTGCCTCACCATCACCTTCACCATGGGCTGTGGGGGAATCTCTGCTCCAGCACCTGGAGCACCTCCACCCCCTTCTTCACTGACCTTGGTCTCTGTAGGGTTGTTTCCCTCACATATTCTCACTCCTCTCAGGCTGAAATTGCTCCCCCCAGTTGTTTCGTTTTTTTTTTTTCCCATTTCTTCAATACGTTATCCCAGAGGTGCTACCACCATTGCTGATGGGCTCAGCCTTGGCCAGCGGCAGGGCTGTCTTGGAGCCAGCTGGCGTTGGCTCTGTCAGACACAGGGGAAGCTTCTAGCAGCTTCTCACAGAAACCACCCCTGCAGCCCCCCTGCTACCAAAGCCTTGCCACACTAATCAGATACACCCATATGCAGTTACTCCCCCCACACCGTGCTGCCTGCCGTGCTCCCATTTCCACTGCTGCCCACGTACTCATCCTGTATGTCTCCTCCAAATACTCCTTGGAGCAAAGTAAATGGAGTTTATTTACTGCCAGCAGTATTGCCTGCCAGATTACACTTTTGAGATGCATTTGTCTAAATAAATAGAGTGGCTTGTCCCTGTGCAAGATTATGTTCTTCTGGTAGAGCATATTTACCACTTGGATGATGGGGAGTTGTTTGCTCCCCTCTGCCCCCCCTCCCAACCCTTTGCTGGTAGTCTTAGCATCCTGTGACTGTGACCACTCACAGCACGAAGTGTCACCCAGGCAGTGGGGGAAGGTAAGGGGTCCCTGTCAAGCACAGCTCCCTGCCCCTCAGAGCAGCGAGGTGGCGATGGGATGGGCGTGGGGAGGCTGGCTGTGAACCATCGCTCGGACCCTGTGGTGAATAAAGGAGGCTTAGGGCAATGCAATGAGAAAAGTGTTGAAACGCAGTTTGTCCTGGAAAGTACCAAGAGGTGGTTCTGTCTGAGAAGGTGTGTGTTTGTGTACGTGAGCACAGCCAGCCCCGCGTGGCACCGGGTCTGGAGGGGACGGCCCCTGCAGGGCCTGCGCACGGGGCAGCGGCGAGAGACGGCGCAGCTCTCTGCCTCGGCCTTGGAAAGCCCCAGCAGTGTTTTTCACCTTCCTTGTGCTTATTCCTGTGGAACAGATTTTTGTTTGCTGTATCCACATCACCATGTCCAAGGTCAACATACGGATTTGGGCAAAGTTAGAAAACTGGTTAGGGTATGTATTCCATGCTGTAGAGCGGCTGTGGGGAAAGGAGAGCTTTTCTGGTCTTCTTCCAGGTGCAAATCCCAAATGTTTGCATCTTTCAAGGCACTCTTCAAGTTTGCCTTTTTTAAAAGTAGTAATGAAAAACCCTGTGTCTCTTCACTCAGACTTAACAGAAAGGCAAAGCAACTCCACTGCTTTTGACGCAGTTCAGGATTTAGCCCACCCATGGTTTGTTGTGTTGTTCCTTTCTCTTTCGTGTTTCCCAGAGGCAGACGAGAGAATGGCATGTGTTGGGAGAACAGGGACAGGGAGAGGTTTGGGCTGCCGTTCCACACAGCGCTAAAGATAGAGCTGTGGTACTCTGTGCAAAATTTCACATGAGAAAATGTAAAAAGGAAATCAGTCATCTCCATTCCCTTCTGTTACAGAGACAGCAGGTTCTGGTCTCTGTGGCTAAGCAAGATTGTTCTCAAGTATGTTGTGGCTGTTTTATTTGCTGTTCTTGCACGTCTTGTATTTATCAGTACTATTTACTGTAGGGTAATGGCTTGGGTTTCTATTCTAATTGTATCTAGGAAGGTTGCCTAGAAATTCACTGAGCTTCCAAGTCTCACCTGCTTTACTGGCAAGGAGTGAGGTTTTTGGCACTTTTTTGCTTTGTTTTTATAAGAGTGCTATTATTCCACAAAGTGCTCCCTGAATGGCAGGAAATTCCTAGTGGGACAAGTGGGATTTCAATGTTCCAGAACTGGGCTGATGGGTTATTCACTGCATGAATGGGCCTGCCACAATCCTCTCCTGAAAAGCCCTCTGCCCCCGTGCTGACGAACACTCTGTAGCAGAGAGAGATGGTGCAGGAGCCTGAGCCCACAGCCCTCGCCACAGCCCTCGCCACAGCAGTCCCTGCAGCACAGCCTGACACACGCTCCCTACTCACCAGTTACCAATTTTTCATCATTTTACTGTCTACACATTTTCAAGCAGTCACAGAACTCGATGCAAAGAGTTTATGTTCTCTCATCAGTTCAGAAAGGGTTTGTTGGTTTTGGACAGTGGCTGTAATGAGAAATTTGGGGCATGGGTGCAGGGTCATACCACGTGCAGCCAGCCAGAGAGCCGGGCCCAGTCCCTGTGCAGTACCCATTGATTGCACAGGCCCAGTGGGTATACTGGGTGGAGATTTTTCATTTACTTATTGCAGTTCAGTCTGACACATGACATCACTGTGAAAGATTGCTTTCTCCCTTTTTGCCCTTTCTCTCTTTTCCCTGCTCCTTCTATGCTGGTGTTGCCATTTCAGGTTAGCTGCATCGTTCCAGCAAATACCCTGTGAAGTGTGCAGCCATGCTGGATCCAGGAAGGCAGCCTGGGGCCTGAGCCATCGCTGCTCCTCAGCAATGTGGCCCAAGCCTCAGAAGTCAGAGGTTCCTACATGTGTGTTTTGCCTCTCATGTCGTTAAGACTGAACCACAGCGCTTTCCTCCAGATCTGAGTATGATTTGAGTTCACAAGTACTCAGATCTGGCATTTGGTTTTCAGCTGCCTCTGATTCTGGGAGAGCTTCCCTTCCTTTGCATTCTTCTGATCCAGGACATGGCCAACCCCAAACGCAGCTAAAATAAAGTTAATGATCCTGATGCTGTTAGAAACAACCAATTCAGGGAAGCTGCCCAGCAAATAGTGTGGGATCAGTGCATTGCTTCTGATACTTTTTAGCAGTTGCCCATCTGTTGATGATACACTCTCTGATATACAGTGAGGAGGCTATAAAAAGCCCTAAAATTAGAGGATTTTCCCCTTGCTTGCCTTACAACAGCAGAGGTAGACTCGGGTCACAAAGCCTAGGACAGGGTAATCTCAAGTTTGGGCTTAAATGGTTCTGTTTTTGCTGGGAACCTCTGCATGGTGCAGTGTGAGATGGAAACTGTTTTAGACCAAGTGCTGTACCTTGCAGAGCTAAATAACCAGTGCAGTGTGCCGTACAAATTGCTTTCAGTATTGGAACTGGCTCATTCAGACCCAGCGTGGGGATTTCTGTACAGCACGATGCTGTGTAGCTTTCACACAGTAAAGCAGACACATGGCAGCTGAATCTGAGAGTCGCTATACCACAGGAGTAGTATAATGTCAGCACGTGAAAATGTTTCCTTCCTTGAAAAATACTGATAATCGAGGCTGCTTTTTCTTTCCTTTACCTTCTACAGTGGACTTTTCTGTGAAACTCCTCCGCCGATGGTCCTTCTCCAGACAAGCCCGTGTGATAACTACGAGTGCCAGAACGGGGCCCAGTGCATCGTCGCGCACCAGGAGCCCGTCTGCCGCTGCCTCGCTGGCTTTGCTGGCCAGAGGTGCGAGAAGCTCATCACAGTCAACTTTGTTGGGAAGGATTCCTACGTGGAGCTGCCGTCAGCCAAAATTCGCCCTCAGGCAAACATCTCCCTCCAGGTATGTCACACAGAGCATCAGTTGCCAGCCCAATGCACTTCTAAGCAGAAGTACATATACATGTTTATATTTTTTAATTCTGAAGGAACAGGGTCTATTGGCCAAGGTGCTGACAAAGTTAGAGTCAACTTGTGAGCCAGTTATCTGCTCTAAAATTATTGAAATGTTAAGGAGCAACTAAGGCACCACTGTACCCTTGTGGGCACACAGGCTGCCTCCAGAAGCTCACCACTCTTATTCCCAGGCTGGCAATGTAACTAGAGAAGCTTTGGGAAACCTCCCTGTCTTCTTACTGATTTACAGCATTGTGTTTCATCCTGTAGAAATTAGTGCTTAATATTAGGAGACCTATTGAAAGAGGCTACTCTAAAGGGCCTTTCCAGACAGTAATTTGCATACTCTTTTACCATGCACATTCAGTAGACAAAAGGCCTGGGATTTTGTTACTGTCCTGTAGTTGCACCTAAATTCGGCTTGAGGTCTAAGGTCCAAAAGGTAATGGAAAATAGATAGCAAAGGTGCCATCCCACTACTGCCATCTTTGTGGTTGTGGATTGAAGGTATTTTGGATACTTAGTCCAACATGATATTTAAGTGATTTGGAAGTTATTTACTTTAACAATCTAGTAAGCATTAAACTTTTTTTTTTTTTCCTATAGTATCCCAAAGTAAATGAGGGAATAATTTCTAGCTTTATATGTTTTCTAATAAAGAGATGTGTGAAGCACATGCCATGATACATCTGTTTCTTAGGCCACTGATTGTTAAACTGGACTATTCCTATGCTAGATTCACCCTGCAAATGAAGCATAGCATTTCAAAAGATGTAAGAAGAAAAATAATCCCTCTATGTTTATTTCATTGCATTTATTTTCTCAGTTTGAAAATACTGTATTTCACAGTTGGAAATCATATTCTAGACTTACTTGATGGAGTTTGGTTGTAATTAAAATACCAATGTCAAGACATGGGAAAGAGGACTGAACTTCCTCATTAGGAATGGATTTTTAAAGGGCGGTTCCTGCATAGTTTAATCTAATGAAAAAAATCCATAATTAAGATTTATCTTTTCTTTAATAGCTTGAGTGTACAGTTCATATGAAAACTAAGCTAATTCATGTATATTTGAAAATCCAGTTTTTCTTCAAAGTCCCCTTTTATTTAATATCACAAAAAAATTCTAAAATGTGGGCGCTCTAAAATATGGCTCCCCAAAGGCTCCAAATACTGTAAGTCAACTTTAAAGCTGAAAATCTGGACATTATCTTCTTAAGCATACAATATGCATTACGTCAGGCATAGCTTGAATAAAACTGACTATTACTGAGAGCACATGCAGACGATGTTCTCACTTCTTGTTTCCCAGTCTGAATATTATTCTTGCATACAGTAATTAATCACTGGTGAATTAAAATTAGAATACAACTTTGATTATTAAGAACAGATAGAGGAAATCTTATTAAAAAGTGCTCAAGAAAAAAAAATCTTTTAAAGGCAAAAATATAGTAGTTATATATCTATAAATGCAAATGGATTTTTGAATTTACTGTTTTGTTTTGGAATTTAACAGCCATTACAAAAAAATAAGCAAGAAATCTCAAGAAATATGTACTGTGAAAATAACGGACAGGTTGTATCTCAAAATCTCATTTGGTCTCTTCTGTTTGTTTTTGTTCTTTGATTCAGAGTTCAATATATTTTTTTTCCTTGATGTGCATCAAATCTAGAGGGACGAGGGCTACTCTCTTCTTTCTGACTCTCTAAATGTCCCATTTGAAACCATCATGACTTGCTAATAACTCTGAGTGCTGGTTAACTGCTGGTTATGCTAGATGTGGGGACAGGTCCTTCTTTCCTTCTTCATGTTCATAGAAAGTCTATGAACAGATCAGCGCTTGCTGAAATTTGTTTGCTTGTAATTGTGAGAAACTCCGCCAACTGCCAGAGTTGATTTTCTAAGCTCTCACTTCAAGCTGAGGTAGTAGCTGAGAAATAAATTCACGTGTCACCAAAAATACCGCAGCAGTCTATTGACAAGGATCAAATAAATTGCAGCTTTCACCTCCTGAAAACTAGTTCTCATTTGAAACAAGGGAGCCATCCCTTAGTGGGGGGCCGACCTGTTTGTGTATGAGCCCACTCAATGTCACCAAGACCTTTTTGTGTCTCATGGCTCTTGCTCACGTTGTTGCCCATAAATATGATTTACTAAATCATATTTAAATTGCATATATGATTTTGGTTTGATTTTTAATATAGCTTTATTCATTTTTAATCATTCTCAAGCAGCCCTACCTGGTTATTAATGTTTCACAGGTAGCAACAGACAAGGACAATGGCATCTTATTATACAAAGGAGACAATGATCCTTTGGCTCTGGAGTTGTATCAAGGACACGTGAGGCTCATCTACGACACGCTGAATTCTCCACCTACCACAGTATACAGGTAAATAGCTAAGCCTTACCAAGACAATTGATTCCCCAAAAAGATGGAGAAGTAGGATTTTTGTAAGAAATGTGCACAGGAGAAGAACTGTTTATTTTACTTCAAGTTATCTCTTTTATCCATGTAATTAGATAAGAACATCAGAATAAAGACTTGGCTAGAGGCTGCATGGATAAAAATAGGCGTTTATTGTCAATACCAGCTATAGTATATCCTATTGTGATTGCAGCAAAATGTTGTGTTTTCTCATCTACTGTAAAGATTTAGTTTGTGCTGAATGTTGTCCTTGAAATAGTTCCAAATAATCAGTTTCTTTGTTGTTGATATTTAGCATTAATTTACTGTACCAAGACAGAACAGTGACTATGCAACTGCAGGATTAGACTGTGTCAGATAAGAAAAGGGCTGAATTCCTCTACAGGGTGAATATTTTTGGAACAACTCTTACCTATATCAGTAGGAGCTACACAGACCACAAATTAGGAAGGTAAATTGTAGGGCAATTTGACCTTCAGACACTTGACTTTTGGGTATACCAAAGCCACGTTTTTTATTCACTACTCACAAGAAAGAAAAGCAAATGTATAAGTGAAACCCATGCACATGCACAGAGGCGTTTCCCTAGGAAGGAGAGATGTGCTGCTCATGTCTTCCACTGTTCCTTTCACAGCTGTCACCCTGGGATAATTCCCTTCTGATTATTTTTAAGCCCTGTTGTTCCAGTTTGTTCTGTGTAAACATGAGGTTGTGACCACAGGGAGCCCTTTCAGGTTCAGTGCAGTTTCATGGCCCTGTGTGTGCAGAATAGCTGTTTTTCCCAGCTCACCTCCTGTGAGAGCAAGTGAAAGGGTGCCACCATGTATCACTAGCCAAGACGGGCCTTGTGCTTTCTCTGGAAAGTTTTCTCAGAACTTAGCAAAACTTGAGTCTTCCAGGGAGTTTTCTTTAGGGGGAATGGTGACCTGTTTAACAAAATGAAAAAATTCTTTCTGTATAAAAGCGAATTGGCTAATACCAATACAGGCATGTCACAGGAAGACCAACGGCTTGTCCAGTGTAGGAATGAAGAAAGTAATTTGTTAGGGATTTTCACCTGCTGGATAAGTGTGAAAAATTTCTCTCTGTGTGGCTGCTAATCCTAATTGATTTCATGTTAGACCAAAGCTGAAGTTGTTAAACAGTTTTATGCCACTAATTAGAACATAGGGAAAAGCTCATCATGTGTGGGCAGCACAGGGGGTGACAGATCGGCGTGGATGCTTGCTCTCCGTTGTCAAGGGCAGAGTGGTGTGGTGACAAGAGCTGTTGCCACCATCACAACAACTCTTCATGGATCTGCTGCTTTCTGGCAAAGTTGCCAGAGATGGCAAGCGGCAGTGTCCTCATTATTCCTGCGCCCTTCATATTGATCAAGGAGGAGGTCTCCATTCAGACTGACACCTCATTACCATAAGATTAATGGCCTGTTCACTACGTTTTGTGCTGTGTGATCTGTTGAGATAGGAAAGAAGCTGCTTAATACGATGCCCTTTCTGAAATGTCACTCTAATCTTTTATTAGTTTAAGGAGTGGAGCAAAATGGGATTAGTATGGAGCTTGATGGGAAAAGATTAGGTTGATTGAGAAAAACTGCAGCTAAAGAATGTCAAAAAGGGCCTCTAAACAGATTAAAAGCCTTGTTTTCCTTAAGGGCTGGGGAAGGGGGAGGAAACCTGCTTTTCTCCTTACAATCACAGGATCTAAGGATAGAAGGCGTGAGTGGATTTGATTTGACCTCCCTGTATATCCTGTTTGATTTTCAGCTAAGGTGTAAGATCTGTTTGGCTAAGACGACTTCCAGTTTGGCACCCAGTTTTGATAGAAAAACACCAAATAATGGAAAATCCCCCATTTCCTTTGGTAGCTTGGACAATGGTCAATCATTTCCATTATTCAGGCATTGGCCATAATTTCTAACTTGTGTTGCTAATACCTTCTGGATGTTTTAGACACCTTCTCCAGGGAAATGAGGCTTCTTTTATATCTGACACTGGCTCCCATGAGTTTATCTGTACTTTTAATTGCATTGTCTCCTAACTTGCATTTTGATGAAAGTAATAGCTCATTCAGTGTGATGCATTTTGCCTAAACCTGAAAATTTGGGGAACTCCTTTCTGCAACCTCTACAATTTTCCATTAAAAATAAGGTTACTAGGAGAACCTGTAACATTCAGATCTTGGCCTCACCATTTGGTAAAACAGTTTGCCTTCTCTACTGCCTACTCCTTGCTGTCTTGTTTAGATGCCTCATTTTAATCTCAGTCTTGGCAAAAGTGGACTGTTTGCCTTTGAGAAGCTCTGTTGAAAGACTATTAGATGAATTTTCACGGGTAATATCAGGCACTGCTATCCTCCAAAGTGGTCCACTTCTCAGAAGAAATAAGCAGTGCTTTGGCTCTTGTTTTCTGTCAGAAGAGTCTGCCAAAAGTGGAGGAGGCCTTGAAATACTGCCTGGCGGGAGCTGTGCCAGCTACAGCTGCAGGAAATCTCTAACTGACCTGGTCCTGTGTAGTAACTGAGATGTTTTGCTGGCTACTTCAGGTACTCCCATGACAGGATGTGGGAAGTCATTGGCAAGCGACATTATCTGTAATTCTTCATCGGAGACTCCATGATAAGATTTATTCATAGTACTTAAGAACAGTAAAATTAGCAAAATACTTGGCTAATACAGGTAATATCCTGTAGGGATAAGATAAAGCCTGTTGTCAGACAGGTTGGGCAGCCAGCAGCGAGTAAGGCACACGTGGTGGTAGTTTCCAGCAGTATTCAGCAGAAGGGTGCTGGAAGGGAGGAAGCATGCAATGTGCAGCATTGCAAAACTCTCCCCCAGCCCCTTCACATACAGCCAGGGTGAAGGTTTGTACCAGACACGTGGTGTGTACGCTCTGAACTTCCTGTGGTAGTGAATTCTGCCGGCAGCCTCACTTCGCAGAACTGTTGCAGGAGGCCGAGGGCAGGGATGTGCCCGAGCAGCGGGCTGCAGGCATGCCGGGACAGAGCAGTTCATTTCACCCGCGCCGTGAAGGCAGGTTGTCTCTGGCTTCTGCAGTGGACCTGCTCCTGTATGCTCGCCGCTCCTTTGAGCAGAGTTAAGTAGAACCGCAGTGCAAAGCTGGTCTGGAAAAGCCCAAGATTAACTTGCTGTACATTCGGATTTGCTTTACATGTATTCATTCCTATTGTATGTTTGGATAGAAAGGTTAAAGTTGACATTGGACTTCTCTTTTGTTCCAGTCAGAGAAAGGTCAGCAATTGTCCAGTGGAAAAGACTACCTAAAGTACATTGTCTTTTATCATCAAGTTAGAAAGAAATACAAGTTAATGGATGAATATGCAATGATTGAACTCGCCTTTTTAATGGAAAAGCTGACCGGTCTGTTACTGAAACTCCTCACTGTAAGCAGCAGAATAACTGTTGCCTGCACATCATAGTAAACATCTTAAAGAAGATCCATTTTTGAAGTAGGATTCGTATTTGTTGTTTCTTTTATTATATTTAATTATTCTGTAGGTGCACAAAGGAGAAGTCTGTTTCCAAACACTTTATTGACTTCCTGGTTTTTGCACTGGTGAGAGTTACTCTGCCATGTCATGACAGTACTCAGTACTAAGCCAACAGTGAATTCTTGAAATAAAGTAAATCTTTTACACAGATACCCTATCTTAATTTAAAGATACGAACTGATGAGGAATGTGCTGCTTTTATTTACCACCATACTCCAATTCTTAAAAGTTTGAATTAACAAGGACAATGAATTTCTGTAGTTTCAGCAATCAGCCACTGATACAGGTTATCTGTTTAGCTGTATTCTATAGGGAGAGCTTCCTATTATCATTCTTTTTTCCTATGTCTGTTCCTTGAACCAGAGATAAGGCCTTACTTGTAATTTTTTTTTTTCTGATAGGTCTTATGCTGTTACACAATCATACCGATTTGGATGCTAAATTAATCCTTCCTAATAGAAATGGAAAACAGCAATTTGACACAAACTGCTGATGTAAATCCCTCCAGAGTTCCCAGATTGCCATGTTGCATACAGACAGGGGAGCCACCCGTGTGGCCACCGGCACTCGTTGTCCACCAACAGGTCCCTGGCCATGCCACTCCTGGGATGAACTTGATTGTACTCAAGGACTTTGGTCCAGTACTCAGACTTCATAGACTTCTCCTCCACTCTTCTGGTGCTGAGATTGAGCAGTTGCTTTGGTGATGGAGGAACTTCCACGTCTTCCAAAGATATGGGAGATGGGATTCTTGTATAATTGCCTCTCTTTAGCTGCAATCGCTTATCTGCAAAAAAGCCTGGGAGGCTTCACTATTAATTCACTATCTTCTAGGGAGGAATGTGCTGGAGGAGTGAAAGCATTAATTATTCTTAGGATCATTATTAGAGCTTGTCAAACACAGTTTTCACCAAAAGTCATTTTGCAGAGCTCACTGCATGACTGGTCCTTTTCTTCCTAATACCTTCATAGTCTGCAGCTGTGATGTGCCATCCCTGGTGGGATTCCTGTTTGATACTTCTGCATGGTCTCTAAATAGACTGTTTCTCAGAGATTTCTGTGAGATATCACCGAGCTCTTAACAATTCTGCATATTTGTGATTCATTTTATTCTATCACACACTCTTATTTTTCAGGTACTCCTTAGGGATTTTGCATCAAATATAATGAAAGAAACCAGTATTAATCTCTGACCTGCACAGTAGAAGTTGTAAAATTTGAATGTGCTTATACATCTTGCATGAGCCAAGGCAAAGGACAGATTAATTATTTTTTGGCTTTATAAAGGGCTCTGGTGTATTTAAATGGGACAAAAAAGACAAGCGTGTGAGTTCTTGTCACACTACAAGCATTGCATTTTTCTGGTTTTTCTTGGATTTTTCTGTAGTTGTATGGTGAAAATGTAAGGCCAAGACCCTAAACTATCATCTAACTTTTATCATTAGGTTCAGAAT